TGTCGTGCCCTGCATGCTTGTTGGAGCCGTATTGGTTTGTGAACGTCTTAGTACCGTGTGGAAATTCAGCAGCTCTCGCGGGTCCCGTTGCATTCCGAGATTTTGTAGGTCTGCCGGCCGTCTTTGAATAAGTACTCTCTTGACTTGCTCAAGTACGAGTTGTGCAGGACGTGATGGAGGCTTTCAAGCCGGTTTGTGATGTGGCGTAAGTGGCCTTTCGTCTGAGCCAGTTCTGTCGTATTGTCTTCGGAAGCCGTCCCTGCAGTGTTCGTGCGAGTGCTGGGCGCATGCCAAAAGAAAGGAAATGAGCCGTAGAAACCTGAAAAGGAGACTGGGGCTGGAAACCGAAGAGGGGATCGGGAGATTGGGGCGCAGGTCCGATCAATGAGTCACGCTTACAGGAAAGATGCAACAAAATTCGAGCTTGCGCACGTGCTTAGGTCACGCCTATTCTCGAAGTCGCCTCTAAAGTAGCGAAAACCACCACCACACCCGATCAATGAATGGGTTACAAAATGGCGTCGCGAAATGGGAATGTGTTGTTTGCTTAGCAAGGCTTTTTCGACTTCACCTTGCGATTGCCACCCTCGGGTCACTTGCGCAGAGCTTCTCAGTCTTCGGCAGCGGGCGGGGGAATGTTCTTGTGTTGGGTCACATGCTGGAGAGAGAGGGATGTGTCGAGTTTTTTCCCCTTTGCAGCTGACTCAGACTTCAAAGAAGTGACAAGAGCATCGCAAGACGTGCCAGCCACCACTTATCAGATTTGCTTTCGCAAGCTCAGCAGGAAAGCGCCCAAGGTGTACGTGCAGCATCACATAAAAGACGTCGGCAGCACAAGTCTATGTAATGTAAGCGATGTGTTGTTGCAACAAGCGAACGGAATTTGCCATCAAGTGGCTGCCACAAAGAGCGCCACGCATCATGTTCCCCCCATTGGGATGTCTGTGTGCCTGTGGCGCTCTCAGTTTAGCCGAGCTCATCAAAAGCCATTTCGAGAGTGTTGCCACAGGGGTTTGCAATCCGTGGCCGAGAGAACGAGGCAGGGCCATGAGGGATCCCAAACCCTAAACCCTAAACCCTCAACGAGTTGTCAGGACAAGCCTCGCCTCGGCCCCGTTCCAGCCCGAGCGCAAAACTGAAAGTTGACACCGAGGTGCTGCTGGCATCTGAGAAGCAACTCTCGCACCCTCAACTTGCGGACGTGTGTCGTGTCCGCAGGAGGCGGCCAGGACTGTTTTCGAGTTCATGCCGGAAGCCGAGATGAATGTTTGATTAGGACCCCATGATTTGAACACGCACGAAACTTTTTGGTCCTGCAAAGTTGCAGCGACATGTTCATCAGGCCGCCGTTGCCAATCAGGCTGTGCTTTGGAATCTGTGCCTTCTTGGTGGCATGTAAAAGAACTATGGGTGTGCAGGATGGATTACGGCAGTGCCACAGCGTCTTTGAAGACGCACAGCCGTGTGGTGAAGGCTGTTCGCCAAGCTGTTGCACAACAGGCCTGGTCAGGCCGCTGCCCGGCTACACCTAGAACCTTAGATCCGCGTTGGAACTGTGAGGTGAGAATGCCACTCGAGGCGGTTCGTGCTCGAGCCCTGAGCAGAGCGCACCAAGAGGCAAGGCAATGTATGTGTTGCCGCAAAGGTGACACTTTCACCCGGGAAGACGTTGGTTCATGCACAGCGCAGAGCACAGAAGTGGGTTTTGCAGCAGGTAATGAAAGTTCAGAGTCAGAACCATGCCCAATTGCCAAGGATTGTTGTGGCAAACATGCAGACGGCCGGGTTGGTGGTGAAGCATTCCGCAGAAAGCTGCGGAAGGTCTTTGTTAGTGCCTCACCAACTCTTCGAGAGTGCAAGGAGGTCGGTCCGATGTTCACACCGTAACTTCAGGCTCAATGCGATCAACTTGCGCCTAGCAGAGGCCCTTGTGACGTGTGTGGCAGCTTTTCTGTTTCTGAAACAGTCTTCGGCAGTTTTGCGTTGGATGATGTGGTTGTTCTTTGTTTTGCTTGCGTGGCGTGATGTCAAGGTTTTGTCAGTCAAAATGCTGTAATGTGTAGGGTTTGGTGCCCTGCAGCGACAACGATTTATGGCAGACTAAACGACAGGCGGTTGTCGTTGCTCTCTGCTACTGCGTAGGCCCTCTTTTAAGCGTGGTTGATCATGCGAAGCATGTTTCAACAATGCGCTTAGCTTCTCGACCAAAGATTTCGGGGTAGCCTGCTTCGTGAAGCTGCTTGGACTAGTTTCGTGAAGCCTGCTTCAGCAGGGCTTGTTGATAACTGATAACGCTGATTGTAAGCAACAACCTTGCCTAAAGGTTGTGCATCAATGGATGGAACCGTTCATGCTCTTCACTAGTCTCACTCATCGCAACTAAGGGGCTGGCAGCTTCATCTATCATGACAGGAACAATCGAGGCGTACCGGATGAGAATCCGGAGGCCATCAACAAAGAAACCGGATGCCACCGAAGGAGCATTCGCGGCGATAAACCCCCATGGGCGCCAAACGAGAACTGCATGTGCTGGAACTTTGACGCCAGTCCCCCAGACGCTAGACAGACTCTTTGACTGCAAAGCTGACTTCAGAAAACACACAAATCGTGGACTTCCTTGTGTTGGATCCACATGTAGTAGCAATAGTCAAAAGCCCGGAGAGGATGAATGTGCCAGAGTTGCTCAGACATCTTTGTGGTGTGGCAATAGAAGAACGATGGGTGGGGCGGTCAAAATGCGTTTCTTCAGGCAGGCTCCAGGGACGTAGGCCAGTGAAACGAGCAAGCGCGTGGCACAACAGAAAGGGCCACCCAATGGCCGAGGAACCAACAGGTTTGTTGTACTTCAGCCCATGACACAAATTTGCGGAATCCGTTACAGCCGCTGGCCTTGCTTGACAGGAGCAGGAGTTACTGGCGGGTGGCGGCACCTTGCTCAACCTGAAGGCCGGTGCAGGGCCAGGATTTAGGAGGGCGCACCTGCAACATTTCAGCGACTTTATTCATGACGAAAGCTTTGCAGAGATTGTGTTAGGGCTGTTAGGGGGCTACATTCTGCGAGGAAGAACGTTGAACCCAAAGCTGTAGAGCAACAGGTCCCATCGGCTGTGTCACCGGCGCAGCGTGTCAGGTAATTTCGCCGATTGATCGAGATGCGTTGGCGCCGTCGCCAAGAAAGCCTCGAGCATCCGAGGAGCCTGAGAAGAAGGCGGGTCCCGTCGCGGCAGAGTCGCCTTCAAGAAGCCCCCGCTGCATCAGGTGCTCGCAGCGGAGGCAAGCATGGTGAGTCTGGCCCATGGGATGTACTATTCCTCGTACATGTGCTCGGGCTCATGCCAGGAACAGCGCGGTCGGCCCCCAGCGACAAAGCTGATCTTCAATAGCAGCATCGAGGCGCAGCAGATGTGTGGTGACATGTGGCGACTGCATTGGGGGTCCAGTCTGGAGGCCATCTACGCCTCAATGGAAGCAGCAAAAATCAAAGCACAGGCAAGGCCTTTTTGGCCTTTTTGGCCTGTTCCATGCCGCTGCTGCGCTCGCTTCAATTCCTAGGACTCGTTGGCTTCAACACGGCCGTCGACTGATGACTCATCAGGCCTCCAGGCTTCGGACTTGGTGGTTCAGCTCGCACGCTGGAATTGTGCTTGCGCTTAGATCTTGACCTAGCACGCGTCAGGACGCAACCAGCCCTCCGGAAGGGCTACGCTGCCATGAAGTGCCCGACCACTTGCGTCGGCCAAGTCCTGCGCTTGCGTACTTCCGCCGAGCGCAGGTACTGCGTGTCTGTTGCAGTGACCGGCAGCGGCTAAGCACCTTGGATTCAACTGGAAGTTTTTTGGCCGCAGCCGCACGCTGTGTCTTTAGCCTGGAGATCGTAGAGCGTGGTTCAGGCCTTGCTGGAAGCTATAGAGCCGCAGGGCATCGCCACGGCCGTCCAGTTTTTCAGAAGGAGTGTAGTATTTGAAGATGCCCTGGAACACTTTCGTAGCCTTTCCCGTGATGGAGGAGCGTGGTGCGCCCATGACGCTTCACTACCGGAATGAGCCCATGACCCAGTCTGGGCCAGCATCTCAGCATCTGAGAGGACGTCAGATGTTTTCCGGTGGAGGCCGGGTGCTCCTGAGCTTTGTGGCTGGTGGCCCGACGCTTATTTGAGCGACACTTTGCAACAGGCTGTGTCAACATCTGTTGCAACATCTGATGCATCATAGAAGTCAGGTTCAGCGACAAGAAGGGCAGTCATGCTTTTCACGGCAAGAGAAGTGCAAGGCTTTTGACTGAGCTGTGACATCTACTGGCGAAACTGCCCCGCTGGAGAGGCCGCCCAAGACGGGCTGGAGCATCCCATCACTTGTGATTCGGAGCTTTGCCCCGCGGAAGGCCCATTGAACCCTAGGCAGCTTGGGTTGTGGCTTTTTTCATGGCGCAGGCCGTCTGGAAGCCGTGAGAGCTCATGGCACACCTCCAGGGGCCTTCATCCAAAAATCCGTGCGCGCGCGCGTGTGTGCCTGCGTGTGTCATTTCCTGCCATCACGTGCGAGAACATGATGAAACATGGAGCAGATGATCGCTCACTCGGTGTTGCCCTCGGCTCTCGCTGGCCCGGCTCAGGAGTTTCGTAGATGTTCCAGGAATAGCCACACTGCATCAACGGAACAAGATCTCATGGCTTGAGGGCGACCGTGCGTTCGTGCCGGGCACAATTTCAGCAGTGGGAACAAGGCCCCGCATTTGCTATCCTTTTCAATGTTTGCCATGAAGCACATGTGCTGCTGCGGATGGCTCGTGACCGACTCAGTGTAAATCCCGCTAGTTAGTGAGCGCACTTGCAGCTTTGGCGCCCCGTTTAAGCCCCATGGGCAGAGTTACAAGTTATAGAAGCTCCCATCACAAAGCCCGCACAGCTAGGATTGGCCCAAGCAAGGTCTGGCAAGCAGTGGGTGAGCTATTGATTCTATCGCATCGTTGCTTCTTGTCTTTGGCGACACTCGTAGCGGTGCATGGGCTTTCTTTCAGCTTTCAGTGCAGCAGCTGACAGCGCAGCCAAGTATTTTTCCGAGAGTCTAGTGTGCAGGGTTCTGTCCAATGTCGAGGAGAAGAGAGCTGCAGTGAAGCAGGAAGCACACAAAGAACAGCAAAGTGAGGACACAGCCGTCACGTCTTTCCAAAGCAGATCGGTGCGTGAGCTATTGATTCTACCGCGTCGTCGTTGCTTCTTATCTTTGGCGACATTCGTAGAGGTGCATGGATCTTTCTTTCAGCTTTCAGTGCAGCAGCTGACAGCGCAGCCAAGTATTTTTCCGATAGTCTAGTATGCAGGGTGCTGTCCAATCTCGAGGAGAAGAGAGCTGGAGTGAAGCAGGAAGCATGCAAAGAACAGCAAAGTGAGGACACAGCCGCCACGTCTTTCCAAAGCAGATCGGTGGGTGAGCCATTGATTCTACCGCGTCGTTGCTTCTTGTCTTTGGCGACATTCGTAGCGGTGCATGGATTGGGCTTTCTTTCAGCTTTCAGTGCAGCAGCTGACAGCACAGCCAAGTATTTTTCCGAGAGTCTAGTATGCAGAGGAGAAGAGAGCTGGAGTGAAGCAGGAAGCGCACAAAGAACAGGAGAGTGAGGACACAGCCATCACGTCCGTCAAAAGCAGCTTCTTGTCTTGGGCGACGCTCGTAGCGGTGCATGGGCTTTCTTTCAGCTTTCAATGCAGCAGCTGACAGCGCATCCAAACATCTTTCCGAGAGTCGAGTGATGTCTCTCCAAAGCAGATCGGGGGCAATTGAAACTTTTGCGTCTGGAGGAGAAGCCAAGGAAGGCTGAGCACGAAGAGGCCAAAAGGATGGAGCAGGTTGGGGGCTGAGAAAGCTGCTTGCACAGGTCCACCGCCTTCTCTGCATGCGCCATGACGTTTTTCAATACACCAAAACATGCAAAGAAAGACAGAAGAAAAAGAGATGGTGGAGCTAGGCGCCCAGCGCATTTCAAATCAAATCATTGGCGGTGTTCGGTGTCCCAACCGTCGCAAAATAGCATCCTTTTGGCCTCGCAAAGGGTGCCAGACCGCGTTCTCACGTAGGTCCACAGTCCATATTCGAAAGCCTGCTCTCGCCTAGATGCCGTGCTTCGTGTCGCGAAAATGCGGCAGGGACGCACTATACGACAGGCATCCAAGAGGTAGGACCTCACGCAGTCCTTCGGGCAAATGTTTGTTGACCGGAAACTACATCCTGACAGGGGACATCGGATGCCAAAGGCTCTGAGGCATTTGTTCGCTCAATGTGATGTTGCTCTTGCAAATGCTTGTGTAAACTGTGTAGTGTAGGATTGTGCAGTCTCACAGAAGCTAAGTACATGTTGCGGGGCCTAGTGGCGTGTCGCGTCCCTAGACCGTCAACAAGAAAGAAGACACAAGCAGACCCGGAAGCCAGAAATGAGGGATGTCCGAAAGTGGCAGCGCGCTCTCGGTCTTTAATGCCAGCGGCCGCAATCACCCTCAGCCAGCCAGCTCGTGATGTGACGCTCTGGCGTCCAAGCTCATTTTGTTTTGTTCAGGCTGCCTTGGACCGGCTTCGTGTCACCAAATTGGCTGAGATGACTTTCCATCTGCTACTCTTTTGGACTCGCTGGACAACCCTTTTCCGATTGACTGCTCGAGTTGCAATCTTGGCTCCGCGAGGGCTTTGTTATGTTTGCGCACGTCCTTGCTGGTCCGGACTCGACCCAGCATGACTCAGCTTCAGAAGCTGCCTTTTTTCTTCAGGCAAGCAAGCGCGCGACAGAGGAGCGGCAATGGCCGGAGAGGCACGCGCCCCCCCCCCCCCTCAGCTTTTGTAATCGAAGATTCTTGCTGGGACGCTTTCGTAGCAGATTCTGCAAGTTCTTCTGCCCTGGATTGTGTTAAGATCGGTGAGCGAGATGGCTTCATTCATCACCGAAGCAATGCCAGGAAGTTGAAGGAAACTGGAGCTGAGAAGGAAATGGTCGAGAAGTCCAAGGATGCAAAAACACTGCACGTGTATCTGTCTTTGGTTCCACGAAAACACTCAGAACATCTGAGTTAAAGCTGAAGTGTTCGTTCGGCAATGAGGAGCCATGCGAAGGTCAGTCGCTACGCCCCACAGGGTCGAAGACTTCGAAGGAGATTCTGGAGCCGTGACACACAAGCGTACCAGACGTTGACATAGGTTCATACTGTGATGACAGGCGCCCAAAGCAAAATCAAAAGCCAAAGGTCGTGCCCATGCCCATGCCTCGGACATCTTTTTACACTTGCCGTGCAAACATACCGGTCGCTGTGGTCACTGTTACATATCATGTGGCAGAGCTTGGGGGCTTCAAGGCTTTGCTCAGCGCTCTTCGGGCGATATTGACTGAAGAACCAATGAAGTGAGCTGAGAGAACCGCTTAAAGCAATTCAACTTTATGTCAATGTTTGTTTGTGGATTGAGGTAAAGTGGAGGATACGCAGAGGTATGCAGCGGTTGATTGCGACACAAAATGGCTGGGGAGGTCGGGGGTAAAGGTTTTTTGGCTAAGGGGGGCTGACAAGCTTTTTGAATGTTACAAGCGTTTGAAGTAGCGAACATACTTGGTGTCGATCAAGACTTCGCACCACAATTTACGACACATTCCCACATGATGCACAGTGTAGGCAGCAGAGAACCACAGTCGCGTCCAACGATGACCATCTTTGAGGAAAAAAGTAGTAAACCATGTCGCAGTCGGCCGCCCATGATCAATCTCGAGAAGAGCAGAGAATCATAGCTTGTTTGTCGCAGTCGGTGGTGAAGCTGGCGATGAATCCAAGCGCTTGGATACATACCGATGTAGGGGGCAAACCCTGAGCTGGGGGGGTGGGGGGGGGGGGGGGCAGTCCTAAACCTTCAAACTGGGAGCCATCCGACCGTCGAGGAGCGTTGCCTTGTTTCCCTCGCGAAGGGTGAGCGTCACGAGATCCCAGGTGGCAACCCAAAACCTTAAACCCTAACCCTGAACGAGATGGGAGAGTCGGAGTGGGTGATGGTGCATAAACCTGGACGCAACAATTCCCCTAAACAGCCTAACGCCCCCATGATGCCGTCCTGCCCAGAAGAAGACCTGTGGAATACCTTTGAGCTGAAAGAAATCCATGCCAAAAAATTAGTGGATTCGTAAATCTCGGAGCGGACAGGTCGCTAGCATCGCAAGTTATGTTGAAGATACTGGAAGTGCAGTTGTCAAGGACCAACAAGAAGGTTTAGGGGTGAGTGAGCAAAAAGCGGAGTCGCAAGTGATCTGCGGCCCGTGCCTGTGATGACTAGTGCATTGGTGCCTTGCCAGGCCAAAGTGGCGGAGAAGGGCGGACAGGTCGTCACATCTTCAAAGTCCAGCCGGGAAGAGGCTGGCGAGATGGGCCGACTTGGCCACTGAACGCCATGCTAGACGCGTAATTATTCAAAAGCCGAACAGGTGCAGCCACAATCGCCCATACAGCGGCTGCCAAGTCCTCAGTAAAATCTGAACCATCACCATCGAACCTGCGAATTTTGTAATGAGTTACGCTCCCACGGCTTGCCTATCCCACAATCGGGCAAGCGTTGAGTATCGAGAAGATGGCTTCAGCTTGCTGGCGAAATGTTTGCGTCCGAGCTTCACAGCTGCTTCAGCAATAATGGCAATGATGTTTTCCGACAGTGTAAGCAGTGCTGACAATTGTGACTATCAAGAAATTGTTGATCAAAGAAGAGCGCATGAGCAAACCACCTGGTGCGCACCTGAGGCGCCGCTTGACGCCCGCGCATCAACTTTCGCCACAGGCGCAGAAGCACATCATGGAGGCCGGGTTGCGAACTGTTCTAAGTACGGGGCTTGAAGTGCCCTTTGTACGATGTCGCCGTGTCAGATGCACACAGCACCTGCAACCTCCTGCTCGTCGCGCTCCCCTTCCTTTCGCTGTGCCTCGGCCAAACTAAAGCGCCAACCCGAGTCGCTGTTCCGTTGTGTCGAGTCCTTTCGCATGCAGCCTCTTGTGCACGAGTGGGAATGGGGCACTGTCGCATGCATTGTGAGACGCCTCGGGAGTGCCAAGCCATGCAGAGGTCTCGTGGTCGTGTTGAAATTTAATTAAACCACCTCGAGGAGTTGCGAGCGACAGTCTCGGCCATCACGGCCCGGAGTATGAACTCTGAACAGCCCGGCTGCCCATACCCGGATGGTGTGCAATGCCTCGCTTCTTGCTCAACCTTCTGCCGTCGCATGACTCGGTAGGACAACGCAAGTTTTTGAGAGCGCGGCGTAGAGCTGCAGGCATCGAACTGAGATCGGTTTGAGTTATGAGCTCACGCGTTCGCTGGAGTCAGTAGCCAAGTGGCCGCGTCATGGCTGACTTGACTCTTAGCGGCCATGCGGCATGCCACATCCGTTGTACTGCAACGCAAGACGTAGCCGGTAGCAAGCCAAGGACCGGCGAAGCTGAGGTGCAGAATTCGCTTTAGTTCCCTCCCATCCCTTGGCCCTTGGCACACAAAGACTCGACTTTCTGCTATAGTGACTATAGTGTTTGTACTGCCTTTGACAAAAGCCCTGCAGGGATGGGAAGATTGCATCCAATTCAAATAGATGGTCGTAGCTAGGATTTGTGTTTCAAAGCAAAGCTGAGATCAGAGAGATCATTCAGCGATTGGGGTTTCAGGCAGCCTCTTTCGGCATGAAGTGCGTGAAAGAGGTGCATGTGGCGTAGTGACATAGTGCCGTTGAGCCAGCTCAGGAGTGCGAGACAAAGGTTCCATCGCCCACCTGCTCATGATTCCGACATGTCCTGGAAAGCGCTCCCGTCGCAACCCTTGCAGGCCTTGTGGCAATAGAGTTCCATGTATGACGAGCCAGCCCCAGAAGCCCGGATGGAGGGCCTGCGCTAGCTGAAGCATGTGCGAAGCAGTGTAAGGTACGTGCACGACTTGCGTTATGAACCCAGATTTGATGGCTTTGGGCTTCCCCGTCCAAGATAGCCCCAAAAGGAAGAAACAGAGTGGGAAGGTACCTGATCAGCTAACCACCACCACGCCCGATCAATGAATGGGTTACAAAACGGCGCAGCAAAATTCGAACGTGTTGTTTGCTCAGCAAAGCTTTTTCGACTTCACCTTGCGATTGCCACCCTCGGGTCACTTGCGCAGAGGCGCAGAGCTTCTCAGTCTTCGGCAGCGGGCGCGGAGAATGTTCTTGTGTTGGGTCACATGGGGGAGAGAGGGTGTGTCAAGTTTTTGTCCGCTTTGCAGCTGAGTCAGACTTCAAAGAATTGACCAGGGCATCGCAAGACGTGCAAGCCACTACTTCTCAGATTGCTTTCGCAAGCTCAGGAGGAAAGCGCCCAAGGTTTACGTGCAACATCACAGAAGAGACGTCGACAGCACAAGTCTGTGTAATGTAGGCGATGTGTTGCTGCAACAAGCGAACGGAATTGTCCGTCAAGTGGCTGCCACAAAGAGCGCCACGCATCATGTTCCCCCATTGGGATGTCTCCTAGCCGAGAACGAGGCAGGGCCATGAGGCATGCCCTAAATCCTAAGCAAAGAACCCTAAACCATCCTAAGCCCAAAACCCTAAGCCCTGAACCTTGCCTGCCTTGTGCGAGTGTGAGCGACTAAACCTTAAGTCTAAAGAGTTGTCAGGAGAAGCCTCTCGGCGGAAGTTCCAGCTGAAAGGCGACACCAAGGCGCTGCTTGGATCTGAAACGCGACTCTCGCACCCTGAACTTGTGGACGTTTGTCGTGTCTGTAGGTGCCCAGGACTGTTTTCAAATGCTTGATTAGGACCCCCATGATTTGACATTCACCGCGCCCAAAGCACATCGCAGCGCACAGCAGTCCAGGCCCTGACCCCCTGACGCCACGTACTGACGCCACGTCCCGTGACGCCACGTCTGTGCGTGACGCCTGACGCCACGTTTTGACGCCACCTGGCTTGACGACACGTTGGGTCCTGACGCCACGTAAGCCTCTGACGCCACATACTGACGCCACGTACGGAGAAGACTCAGCCAGCGTTTTTTTCCCGAAAGCATCGCGAAGGGTTCTTCCGTGCGGAGCCCCCTGACACAACAACACAGACTGAAGTGCATAGAGTGAAGTGCATAGAGTGAAGTGCATAGAGTGAAGTGCATAGAGTGAAGTGCATAGAGTGAAGTGCATAGAGTGAAGTGCATAGAGTGAAGTGCATAGAGCGAAGTGCATAGAGTGAAGTGCATAGAGCGAAGTGCATAGAGTGAAGCGCATAGAGCAAAGTGCATAGAGTGAAGTGCATAGAGGCAAGTGCACAGAGTGAAGTGCACAGAGTGAAGCGCATAGAGTGAAGTGCATAGAGTGAAGTGCATAGAGTGAAGTGCATAGAGTGAAGTGCATAGAGTGAAGTGCATAGAGTGAAGTGCATAGAGTGAAGTGCATAGAGTGAAGTGCATAGAGTGAAGTGCATAGAGTGAATTGCATAGAGTTTAGTAATCAGTGAATACAAATTTCTAGATTTACGTAGAATTTACTAGACCTTCGTACCCAGTCCTAGAATTCTTAAATTAAAATTACTCTTTCTAAGGCGGCGGGCTGGGTTGACATCGCCAATCGGGATTGCAACCCTCTGCGGGTTTCGGCGTGGTCGCGGTGCTAAAACCGTCGTTTTTTTACGTTTCTTGATTTGCGCGGACAACCCTCTGCGGGTTTCGGCGTGGTCGCGGTGCCAAAACCGTCGTTTTTTTACGTTTCTTTGTGGCCGCGGACAACCCTCTGCGGGTTTCGGCGTGGTCGCGGTGCCAAAACCGTCGTTTTTTTTACGTTTCTTTGTGTCCGCGGACAACCCTCTGCGGGTGATCGCCGGGTCGCGGTGCTAAAACCGTCGTTTTTGGAACTTTTTTCCGTGGCCGCAGACAACCCTCTGCGGGTTTCGGCGTTGGCGCGGTGCCAAAACCATCGTGTTTTGGCCCTTTTCCCGAAAGCATCGCGAAGGGTTCTTCCGTGCGGAGCCCTCTGACCCAACCACATAGAGTGAAGTGCATAGAGTGAAGTGCATAGAGCGAAGTGCATAGAGCGAAGGGCATAGAGTGAAGCGCATAGAGTAAAAAACATGGAGTGAAGAGCATAGAGTGAAGCGCATAGAGTGAAGTGCATAGAGTGAAGTGCATAGAGTGAAGTGCATAGAGTGAAGTGCATAGAGTCAAGTGCATAGAGTGAAGTGCATAGAGTCAAGTGCATAGAGTCAAGTGCATAGAGTGAAGTGCATAGAGTGAAGTGCATAGAGTGAAGTACATAGAGTGAAGTGCATAGAGTGAATTGCATAGAGTGAATTGCATAGAGTGAAGTGCATAGAGTGAAGCGCATAGAGTGAATTGCATAGAGCGAAGTAGAAGTTAATAGAAATTACGAGATTTACGTAGAATTTCGTAGACCTTCGTACCCAGTCCTAGATTTCTAAATTAAAACTAAATTAAAATTACTCTTTCTAAGGCGGCGGGCTGGGTTGACATCGCCAATCGGGATTGCAACCCTCTGCGGGTTTCGGCGTGGTCGCGGCGCTAAAACCATCGTTTATTTACGTTTCTTGATTTGCGCGGACAACCCTCTGCGGGTTTCGGCGTGGTCGCGGTGCTAAAACCGTCGTTTTTTTACGTTTCTTGATTTGCGCGGACAACCCTCTGCGGGTTTCACCGTGGTCGCGGTGCTAAAACCGTCGTTTTTTTACGTTTCTTTGTGTCAGCGGACAACCCTCTGCGGGCGATCGCCGGGTCGCGGCGCTAAAACCGTCGTTTTTGGTACTTTTTTTCGTGGCCGCAGACAACCCTCTGCGGGTTTCGGCGTTGGCGCGGTGCCAAAACCGTGGTGTTTTTGCGTTTTTTGACATACAAACGTAACCCCTCTGCGGGTTTCGGCGTTGGCGCGGTGCCAAAACCCTCGTGTTTTTGCGTTTCTTGTCATGCAAACGTAACCCCTCTGCGGGTTTTCGCGTGGTCGCGGCGCTAAAGCCGTAGTGTTTTTGCATTTTTTGCGTTTGTTTTTCGACTTGTGTAGTACAGACGTAGTACGCCGGGGACTTCCGTGGCTGGAAAATCGAGTTTTGTAGTACAAATGTAGTACGTAGGGGACGCCCGGAGCTTCCGTGGCTGGAAAGTCGACTTTTGTAGTACAAACGTAGTACGCCGCGGACACGCGGAGCTTCCGTAGCTGGAAAGTCGACTTTTGTAGTACAGACGTATAGTACGCCGGGGACGCCCGGAGCTTCCGTGGCTGGGAAAGTCGATTTTTTGTAGTACAAACGTAGTACGCCGCGGACACGCGCAGCTTCCGTAGCTGGAAAGTCGACTTTTGTAGTACAGACGTATAGTATGCCGGGGGCGCCCGGAGTTTCCGTGGCTGGAAAATCGACTTTCGTAGTACAAACGTAGTACGCCGCGCACACGCGGAGCTTCCGTGGCTGGAAAGTCGACTTTTGTAATACAGACGTATAGTACGCCGGGGACGCCCGGAGCTTCC